GAATAACACCAGAAAATACACCAGTAGTATTTGCATAACTTAAAGTAGTAATATAGAGCAGACCCAACCAAGAAATCAGAGGGCAAAGGAAAAGCCCACAGAATCGGTGTCCCCCCGGGAAATGAAGGCATCAGGCTCTGCCTGATGGTGTCCGTGGGTGTCCATGTGGATGTGTTGAGGGCATGGTTGTTATTTGGTTGTTACTTGAAGGCTCACATACGTAAATGTGTGGACTGAGTACAGCACGTGACCCGCTTCCAGATCCAGAGTTAGGAAGGAAAGAAACGTGATTTCCCACCCTTGGCCCTACCCCAGTCCCAACCCCCAAACTGCTCAAGATTCAGGAAGAAATAGGCCAGGAATCAGACAAGAAGCAACCTCTCCGTAACGTGCATGCCACTTGTGTACATATACAGGCTACATATGTGTGAATATATCCCCCACCTTGCGCACACATACCACAGTGACATGGCATTAAAAAAATACATGCTGTATTTGGAACTTGGTAGCATCTGCTAGGACCCCAGCAGTAATCATAGCCTTATCGCCACTTTCTGTGTTGTGTATACATTGAATGGCTCATGAGATTTTAAGAAATTTTTTTAAATGTATTTCTTCTACTAAATGCACTTATCCTTCTACATGTCTATATATTTTGGTAAATTTGATTTATTAGAAACTTGGTATTTTAGTAAGATAAAACTTCCTCAAATGTTTGGTGAACTCTTTGATGTCGAGATTGCACATGGCTGAGTTGAAACTCAGAAGTTTCTGCAGCTTCGAGCATTTTCAACTTCAGACTGCGGTTTCCTTGGCTAAAAATTGCTCTGTGTGTTCTTGTGCATTCGCTCATGCTCTAATATGACATATTTGGTAGCTGTGATGCATAAGCCACTAACTAGAGGCTCTCCGATGGCTGCGTTGCCATCACATGACCATTTATTTCCTTTTTTTGCTGAGTGATGGCCTGGTAAGGTCATTGCCAAATGGACATGAGTGTGAGCGTGTTGTTGGAAGGTGTACACTTCTGGTTCTCTCAGCTATTTTGTGGACACACCCAGGTTTTCTTTTCTGTTAAGGAGTTGATCTTTCATCTGTGAAAGGACAATTAGCCAAAGATAATTAAATTACCTTTGAAAGTGGGAATGAAGAGGCTCTCCGGCTAGATAACACCTCCCAACAACAGCAGAGTGAGATAATGCTTAGTGAAATCCCTTAAATATTTATGTGTACATTTTCCTTAATATTATTTATGGTATTCACTACTGCTTTTGTGCTTCTTTAATGGTGTTACAGTGAAACCACAAGTACCTGTGCTGCATATGACTAACAAACTGGGCGGCTGAACAACGGAAAGAGAGAGATGAATTCTGTTCCATTGTAAGACGTGGATTTATTTTAATCTTTCTTTATGTAAAGGAAAAAAGCTGTTTGAAAGGCATTCTAAGTCCAATCAGTATGGATAGCATGTTATCTGAAACCTGATTTGTACATTTCGGTGTCCGATCATTTGCATGGAAGAGACAATAGTGCCACGTCCGAATTGTTCTCTGTGCTTGGTTAATATGTATTTCTCTAGGTTGTTCCATTTCAAACGACATTTCTTACTCTTTGGTTTTCAGAGGCATTCGAACAAAATATCCTTTGTTTTCTGACCAATCTAAAAATACGTGTGATTAAGTTTGTTAGTGTAAATAAATTTCTTGCCAATGAGTATTATTGTTGTTAGACAACGAATGCAATAAAAAGAAAAATACTGATATCTGTCCAAGTCATATTTTTTTTCCATTTTCACCTTCGGCTAAAACAAGCCTTGGCTGGATAAACCTGTATTAACTGTCAAAATACATCTATCAATCAAGAGCAAAGTGCGAATCTTCCATGGAAATGAAGCTAAAAATAGATTTTAGCCCTGGCGAAGTGTAAATTGGCAGCTAGAATTACATTTGAAAGCACAGTCATGGAACTGGGCATCAAGTTAAAAGATCAAAGCTCCCACCAGAAGCTCCCTCGCCCATCTTTCTGTTTCCACTGTGGCTTCACCATCACAGTTTCTGGTACCTATCAGCCCGGAAAAGGTTGGTGACAAATCCTTAAGCAGTTGGCCTCACACAGTCACCCGGCATGGTGGGGCAAGCTAGAAATCAGACCATCCCAGAGTATGGGGTTCCTTTCAACAACTTTATTTCTAAAACCTGAAATGGTGAGAAGACTTGAGTATAAATGAGGGGTGTTAATTTCTCTATTTCACTTACACACACACACACACACACACACACACACACAATTTACCTGCTACTAAACCTTTGGCAATGCAAAAAGTTTAGATCAAAGCATCAGAATGAGCTAATTCAGCTGTTTTCCTTGGAGTGTGTTAAGAAATTCCTACCCAAGGGGAAGCACATGTCCCTTTTTGTATGATCTTGCCTGTAAGCTATGTTAATTGGGTAGCTTTCTCTTTTGGGGGGAGAGGAGGTGCAGAATTTACTTATTTTAAAACAAGAGAGAACAGACTATGGTCATTTTATTGATGATATCAAGTGCTTCTCTTTAAAGGAAATACCTGGCTTTTTGCAACCCAAGCACCACAGCTATTGATCATTTCCAAACAATATTTCAGAGAATCCAGCTTCAGGGCTGTGAACAGCACCCCTGACTCACTGAGCACTCACAGGGCACCTGACGTCAGGCCCACTGGAGCTGGCTAAAAATAGCTCCTCCCCTGATGGGAGGAAAGTGTTTTTCCACCCAAACAAAATGTTCCTGTTTATTACTTTAAGTCAGTGGTCGTGAACTATTAACAGTTCTCAGTATATCCGCAGAACATTTTTCTCCAGGCCGTGGTCATGGCCAACGCCTTAGAGAAACTTCGTTTTTGACATCACTGCCGGAACACCCCAAAGAAACAATTCATCCTGGAAGCCTTAGCTCAGGACAGACAGACAAGTCAAGGACAGGGAACCTTTTCTTAGGCTTTTATGAGAAAACAATAGTCGCCTTTTCTCTGAGTCAGGCCCCTCAGAAGGATAGCCAAAGGCTGTTGACAGTTTCTGCCTCGTTTACTTTTCCATTTCCTTCTAAGCGTCCAGGGCAAGTCAGAGGAGGAAAGAACAGCCGCCACCTCAACAAGAGCATAGTCTTGGGGGCCACTTATCTTTCCCCCTTGGTTTCGGGCTTTGTTCTGCATCCAGTCACTGATGTGAACCAACTTCTTCCTTTTACCGGGTCAAAGAAACGAAAATGTATAGCATGTGCTGAGATACCAGACACTCAGAATTTTCAAGGGTGACAACACTCCCAAGAACTGTAAGATTTTCTTGCAGGAAGAGACTTGAATGAGCGAGAGTGAAAGGAGAGTTGGGGTATCTGAGTTTAGATTTATGGAGAAAGCCCTATGCAGAGGGGGAAATGGAAGTAAGTCTGAAGATGCAGTTTGTCTAATGGCTTTGCTTGAGGAGAAGTACCTGGGGTTGAGTAATTTTAGCGCACACTCAGGCTCCTGGCATGGGAACTGGAGTCCTGGGGTGGGTACTGGCCTCCTGATGGCACGTGAGGCCCTCCTGCCCTCCTGTGTTCAGAAGACCGGGGAGGCAGCCACGAGCTCATGTGCGCTCAGGGAACACGTGTCTCCCAGGAAGTACCTGTTGGGCCACATACAGTTGCATGATTTAATACCTGACAACCGACATGACAATTTTAGCCATTTTATTATGATTTTTACCGGTAAGTGAGGTTTCAAGAATCCTAAGACTGACTTGATATTGTGCTCTCAAAAAGCCTTCCCATCGTATCTGTTCTCAGTTAACCAGCACTTTCATCCCTAACAACGTCCTAATTTAGGGCCAGCGTTCATTGTTCAGTGAGATCACCGTGGTCCCTTCAAGGTGGCAAGCAGTTGAAATGACGGGCTCACGGTTTGCATGGCAGGGGTGCATTTCGGCCCGCTAGAGCTTGCAGTAAAGAGCTTTCTGGAACACAGTGCCAATCAGCAATTTCCCCTTGTACACAGAGGCCACTGTACTTCCTTGCAACACTGTACCGTTTTCTGCATAGACCACTGTGACTTTGGGTTCTTCTGTTAAAATGTTCTGGATTTGGAGCACCTATCAAAGAAATAACATTTGGTTACTTTTTTTAAAGTCACTTAAAACAACTTTAAACCTGGAATCATTTCTCTAGGAGGAGCCTTTAGGTAAATCATATTTTGTTCCAAAATTACTCTCTATATAGGACACTTGTTTCCTCATTGGCACAATGACAGGTTCTGATCAGATGATTTTAAACAGAGGTAGCAAGCACAGGCCTACAGAGGTGAGGCAAGAAATATTTATAAATGAGAAAATAGTACAACCTGGGGGTGAGGCATTAGGGAGCAGTAGTGACTCTTGGGAAAGGAGAGGCGGCTGGTAGTAATATTCAATTATTTCCATGCTGGCATTCAGGATAGTTTTTGGTATTATCAGATAAACTAGGAATTTGGATGTTTACGCTTAGTTCTTGGTTTTTAAATGCTGGCAATCAAGAAAAAAGAAAAAAAGGTATGGCCCAAAAGAGAAGAACATATCTCTGTACCACACTTATCCATTCCTCTGAACTTAAGGTCCCAACTCTAAATAAGATTTTGAAAGTTCAGTTTCCTTCATTTAGTGGAGCAGAAATATGATTGTATCACTAGCAACAATGTGGTAGCATGTTAGGCTGACTACGTGTAATAGCCAATATGTGACCACTTTGGCTCATAAATGGCAATCTCACGTGATTCACCCTATGTAAAGAGCATACTGTGAGTCTGGAGCCCCAGGGTGTGTTTTGGACCTTCTACTACCATGGTTTCTCATCTGTAGACTGCAATGTGTGGGACTAGGTTAAGTTCCCTTTTAACACTTTCTATTCTTAAGCTTTTAGGGTGAAATGCAATGACTTGAAGAAAGGATACCTACATGCAAAAACACCAAATATGGCAGACTAGGAAGGCCAGTGCCTGGATGGTAAAGGGTCAGTGGAGCATTTAAAAGGACCTCTTTAAAACAACTGACACCAAAGACAGATGTTTTAAAAAATTGCCATAGCATTGAAGTGTAGTAGTTCTGTACTGGGAAATGGTTGATGGTGCACCTTGGCTTAAGTAATTAAGCTTCTTTTAATAAAACTACTTTTCTATAGAACAGTGTATTAGATAATGGACTGTTATTACTTTTTCCTATGCTTTAACAGATCCGTCATTAGAAAGAAAGTATTTTTTCCAGAACAGCAAACCAAGTCCACGCTATATACAGCAAATGACCCAAGTTCACCAAATGAGCTAACAAGCAAGAACAAATTAGAATCTAACATTCCGGTGAGTTCCAGTGACCACACCACAGCATACATTTCTTCAAGTCTATTAAACATACCATACAGCATCCTACTAGCTAAAAACAAGCAGAAAGGCACAGAGGGTTGCCATTAAACATAATCACAATTGTCCTGTAAACATGAAAATATAAGGTATGAAGGGCCATAATGTCATCGGAAATACACATTTGGTTCTGTGTTTTTTAATCCAAGACACACAGGTTATAATTTTTTTTTCCTATTGGGGGCGGTGGTGTGATACTGACTCTTAAAACTAAGCTTTAAAAAAAAAAAAGCATAGCAGTAGACTGTGTCAAATGTGATTCCATGTATTTGATGTAAATAACAAGTATTATTAGTACATACTGAAAACTCACAGTAGCAAACCCCAGGTAAGTCATAGTATACATGCAAATGCCTGTGGCCAACGGAATTTCAAGTTCTTACTTGCACTGACAAAATAGTCCACTGAGTAATGGCCATGGACACAAATAGGGTATTTGGGTAATATAACTTAGATAGAAGAAAATTCTTTTAATCCAAAATAATTCCAGCTAGTGATTTATCTTCCCATCTGCCGGGAAGGTTAGAGGTTGCCCATTGAGCTTTTGGGCTGGTCCACCGTGTTGACCTGGGCACCCACTGACACACAGGAAGGGGAGTTGAGTAGGAAGGCAGGTAAATAGTGAGACATTATATCTTTTGAACCATTGTGAATTTTCAAGTTGGAGAAACTCATTATTGAAATGAAGACGTGGACCCTAGTTCAGTGCCAGCTATCCTAACCCAGCCCCCAGGTCCACTCTCCACTCTGCTCGGATGTGCAAAGATGGACTTTGAGGGCTCCCTTCCCCTCCAGCTCCCGGTTGGGATCCACCGAGGGGCAGCAGCGGCGGGGGATGGGAGGTCTGAGGGGGAGCTGGGGTTCGTGGTCTCCAGGCACCCTCCCTGTGGGTCTCTGCTGGTTGGCAACATCCCCCAACCAGAGGCCAGGCTCCTCTCAGAAGACCTTCTCCACACAGCTCTCTTCTTGCCTGGCTTCTATACGCATTCCCTACCCCCTTGCCAGTCCTGGGGTACTGCGTTACCTCCTGCTGACTTCCCTACGCTCTGCCCACAACTGTGTCCTTACTCAGTCCCCTCAAATTACCCAGTTTAAATGTACCGTCTGGCTCCTGCCTAGACTCTGATTACAGTGCCTCCCAAAGTCAAATTCCTTTTCCTCGTGATCACTTGGGCCATCTATTGTGCTCCCCACCCTTTTTATTTGCCCATATAGTTGAGAATTATGTTTTCCACTGAAAAACATCTGGGAATAAAGTTACTGATCTGATAAATTTTACAAACTAACCTCTGATGCAGGAGGATGCTCCACGTCGTAGTAGAAGATTCTCTTTCCATTGGGATGGCATCCAACCCAAAGGTCCCCTGTCACAGGATCCACGGATATGTTATCCACGAGTGTGTTGAAGACCATGGACTTTCAGATTAAAAATGAGAGAATGAAAGACAAAGTGAACAAATTTGAGAGATGATTGAGCAGTATGACAGGGAACACTCCTGTCTTGTCCTTGGTCGCTACACTGCTGATTCCAGGGACACAGCAGTTCTGCCCATTTCAGTCGCACTCAGGGAATTCCATCCCTACTTGTCTTTGATCAGTTTCCAGAACAAATGAGGGAGCGGGAAATACCGAAAGCCAAGAAAGACTATTAAAAGTTAGATGAAATCACTTGGACTCACATCTGTGTGTGACCCTAAAACTGAAAGGAAAAGAAGTTGTAAGTACAGCAGAAAACAGTTCATCTCTGAAACAGCATGTGCAAATGATATTTTTATGAGCATGCAGAATACTACCAGGAAACGTAGATTCATTGCTGATGAGACTGTCAAGGAAACGTCGGCTCGTCTTCAGAGGCTAATCATAGGCCGTGAAGCCAGAGGACAGATGATGGCCCGGGGCCTAATTTTTGCCTTGGAGTTGGGAAGAGGTTTCTTCTTGAGTTTCCTGATGTTGTTCAGCTCCCTATTCTGCTGCTGCTTATTTTCTAAATATAAGTTGCAAGCGTGTGATGACTGCACAGATTGCTGTCGAGGCTTTGCACCAGCATCATAAATAATACCAACGACTCTTAATTCCTCCATTCATCATCCTGGCTGCCTTCTACCGGGAAGAAATCACATCTATTTGCTTACCTTTCGCTCTCCGTTGGAGAAGCGGTGTCCCCCGTGCACCTCACGCAGAGGCCCGCATACTCAGCACCCGGAGGCCTGTAATAACCGGCGTGACGCATCGCAAAGGCCAGAGCGTGGGCAGGCGGCGTGGCCCTGCTCCCTCCGCAAAATGCCAGCCACCCCCGCGTGTCCCTGCAGGGACTGGAGGGCTCAAGCATCATGGCAGAGTCTCCTTTTCACCTTTGTGCAAAGCCATCACTCATTCATACCCGAAACAGGCAAGGCTGGCCGAAGGAGGTGGCTGAGCAGCACGCTCGGGTCAAAATCAGCCCCAGGCCTTCACCAGCCCAAGGCCCGACTGTCACAGTGTCAGGCGTTCTACTCTGCTGCGGCACTTTCTCTAAGCGAGGGAAATGTTTGTCTCGGGGCTCTGCTATTATCTTTGGGAGGGGTAATAGCTAATCGGTGAATTCCATGGCAGATAAAAGGCTGTAGAAATGGGAGTCGGGGTGAGAGTGGGGAAGGGCACAGAAGCCGGGGGTCCCATCATTCAACACACAACTCCTGAGCTCCCGCCATGTGCTCTGCGAGGAGCTCGGCACCCGGGGAGAATGCAGTAAGCGGCGGACCTGGCTCCTGCCAGGGAAATGCTGACAGTCCAGTTGGGAGCCTGTGCTGGCTCCTGCCTTGCAAATCTGTAATTCCTGACAATACCAACTCACCCCATGCACATACATGCCACATTTCACGCATCCCCAAAGCCAACTGGAAAAGTTTATATTCCTTGGTCAAGGAAACTTAAGTTATACTTTGGGGGGGAAACGGTACCTTCTGTTAACCAATATTGCAATTTTTAGCGAATTACAACTCATTGAAGTGGGACTAATTCATTGGCTGTCTTGAATTGGGGGGGATTATTTTTATTGTGGTAAAATATTCATAACATGAAATTTGTCATTTTAACTATTTTTAAGTAGACAATTTCAAATGACAAGAAATTTGTCATTTTAACCATTTTTAAGTAGACAATTCAGGGCATAAGTACATTCACAATGTTGTACAGCCTCACTGCTCTCCATTTCTAGAACCCTTCATCATCGCAAACAGAAGCTGTGCCCAATAGCTCCCCATTCCTCCCTCCCCCGGCCCCTGGTAACTTCTATTCCGCTTTCTATCTGTGAATTTGCCTACTCTAGGTACCTCATACAAGTGGGATCTATCAGATTTCTCCTCTTGGGTCTAGCTTATTTCATTTAGCACATCTTCAGGGCACACCCATCTTGTAGCATGCATTAGTACTTCATTCTTTTTTAAGACCAAATAATATTTCATTGTATGTATATACACCACACTTTGATAGGACATAAACCCATCCACATCTCATTGAAAATTCTAAGAGATCTCAGCTATTTTATCAAATTTCTTGGCACTCCAGGGGTTAATTAGCTAGCTTAAGTAATATGATCCTTCAAAAGGAAAAATATTTCAGGCCCAGGGATAGTCTCAGCTGACTTATGTCAGGAGATGGGCATGATCTATTGCCAAAGGTGGAAGCAAGACCTGAACTCAGCCTCGCCCGCAACCTTGGCACGAGCTGAGCCTTTATCATTGTGCATTGAATATGTATTGGATTGGGTCCTATTCTTAGAAAATTCTTTCACTTTCACGTTACAGAAGCACGTATTGCTATGACCACAGTTTGCCCCTCCTCCCTCAGCTGGTGTGTGTGTGAAATGCCATCTGACTTCAGCTAACACCAAACGAGCCCTGCCAGTGACTTCTAACGTCAAACGTGATGTTATGTTTATGTTGCCTCCAAGTAATTTTCTCGGAGTGAAGCCCTTCATGACAGTGCCTCGGGTGTGCTGGCAGGAACTGTCACAGCGCCTGGGGACAGCACTCCATGACGTGGGCGATACGGCAGAAGACCGATGTCTTGTTTCTCAGGGGCAGGGCTATGTGTATAATGCTCTGCTTTAATGTTCTCTTTCCTCTTTTTTGTCTTTTTACCTCTTTTGACCCAAATCTTCAAAACGGACCAGAATTGGTGGGGGTATAAGATGAACCCCTGAAACACACCCAGCGCCGTCAGACGAATTTAACAAGTGTTTGTTGAATGCCTACTAGGTGGTGGGAACTCCTCCAGGAACAAATGGGGGGGGAATCTGTCCTGTGGCCCTTACACCCTAGTGAGAGAGGCCGCCAACAGAGGGGATAAATAAAATTTAGAATTTGTTAGCGATGAATGCTGGAGGGAAAATAAAGGTGTAAAGGAGATAGGAAATTGTGTGTGTGTGTGTGTGTGTGTGTGTGTGTGTGTGTAGGGAGAACAGAGCTGTAAGTGTAGATTCGGTAGCCAAGGGAGGCCTCTGTGAGGGACATTTTAGTAAAATCCGCAACAATATGAAGGAGAGAACCGTGAGGATGCGCAGGAAGATCCCATGAGCAGAGGGGACAGTGCCCCGTCCTGAGGCAGGGCCCTGGCAGGCAAGCTCCAGGAATGTGCAGGCAGGGGAAGCTGAGCAGAGGGACAAGGGCTGGGGACAAAGGCGGCAAGGTGGCGGGCTGCTGGGGCACAGGCGACCACTGCTAGTACTTCGGCTTTATAAATAGAGTGGAGAGCGCTGTCATATTAAATGCCAAGTTGAGCCTGTTTCTTCGCTATTCCATCAACATAGAGGGAAAAAAAGAAAGGGAGGGAGGAAGAAGAGGGAGAAAGAGAAGAAATGAGGGGGGG